AATAATAAAAAATATTTTAAAAAAAGAAGTTTAATTTGGGTAGTTCTCTGAGAAAGACTCTGCTAATGGCCATCTGCTACCAACAAGCTCAGAAGCTCACAGATTGAGGACTTCAGTCTTGCAGTGAATCTTTGGCTAAACTGGGTGGCGTCCACCTTGGTGAGGTGGTAAAGCAATAATTCTCAAAAATTTAGTGTGTATTAGAATTATCGGAATTATTTTTGGGTCTCACTTCAGAATTTTTGTTGTAGAGCATCTGGAAAACTTCATTGCCATCCAATTGATGCCAACTCATAGTGACTCTCTAGGCCAGAGTAGAAATACCCAGAGTTACATGGCTATAACTTTATGGAAGGAGTCCTGGTGGTGCAATTATGGGGTACTTAGCTGACAAGGGAAAGGTCAGCAGTTCAAATCAACCGGATCCTCTCTGGGAGAAAGAAGTGACAGTCTGTTTCATTAGAGATTTCAGCTTTAGAAACCCTGCAAGTTTGGTTTCCTTCCCTCTACGGTGTTGATAATAGTTGGAATCAACTAAATCCCAATGGTAGTAGTAATACTAATGGAAGTACATCTGAATCTCTCTTTTTTTTTTCCTTTACAATTTTGATACTTATTATGGAAGTCAAAATGCTATAATTCAGGTTGGCATCAGTATGCAATCACTCGTTCAAGACAGCTTCTAAAATGTGCTTGCTGGCCCCTCAGCCTTCATCCTCACAGCTTTGGGCCAGTATTACAAAGCTCTTAGTTCTTCCAATTAGGGTATCTCCCTCTTAATCCTCTAAAAATTTGGGCAAAGTCTCCTATTTCTGTTCTGTGGGGCAGTAATCCCAAAACCAGCTCTGTCTCATGTTAGGTCTCTTGTTGTCAGCTGTGTCTGCTGCTCTGTGGGTCCCAAATGAGTGGCACAGGAATCTTTTGTCATAAAGAATTTGTACATTGCATTCTCTTCTTTTTCTTTGATAGTGGTGAGATTCTCAATTTCTAGTGTTGAATCTATTCAATTTACACACTGACTGCAATAATGGAGTCAAGAATGTCAGAGATCACAAGGATGATACAGGGTAGAGCAAGGTTTGGCTCTTATTCAGAGGGTGACTATGAGTCATAGTCAACTCTTTGACTATGACTACTTTAATCCAGCTAGTAAATATGACCTATTTGTTCTAATTTTGAAGATTGTAAGGTCTGGAGTTTCCTCTACTCTCCACTGTTTCTTACATTTAACAAACAAACAAATCTAAAATGGTTGTCATCATCTCTTTCTGGAGACTGTTAGTTTCTAATCCCTTTCATTGTAATGGTATCACAGGATGTATTTTACAAAGCTTACACTTAACACAATACAATACTAGTGAATATCTATTTGCACAAAAAAATTCAAATTTCTTAGCATAACTAACTAGACTTGTTATGATTATTTTCCTGTCAACCTTTTCAATCTTTTCACTTCAGGACACCTATACAATTCTTATTCCGGACACTAACTTCCACCAAATAACTATGCCACAATTTCCTCTTTTGCTCCTTCTCTTCTCTATTTCAAGGGCTATCCAAGTAAAATTTAACCATAAGCTTTCCCTAACACTCATAGTGTCAGTGGATGTGTCATAACTCCATAGTTAAAAATAATTTGATAAACTTCTTCTTGTAAGTTCAACTACTGAAGATTGTTTTAAAGTGTCTCTGTATTCTTCACTTAGTTAAACAAGGGACAAACACTATGAGATTGTGAGAAGTAAATGTTACTAACTTGTTAACTTGATGATATAACTCCTTCTTGGTCCACTGTGGTGCTTTTATGGAAGCAAAGAGCAGTAAGTGCTCCAGAACAGTGAGATTGTCAAACAGGACATTATGCTGAGGACACACACCCAACTCCATTCTGATTAAGGCAAGGTCTGTCTGTAGATTCTTGCCATTTATAATGATGGTTCCAGAAGTAGGAGGATAGAGTCCCGTCAACATGGATCTGCCAGAAAAAAACAAAATAAGCACAAAGAATACATTTACCTCGGTAAATTCTAATGTCATGTGTCTATCTTGAGAAGAAAACGAGACTTCTGTTGACCTATTTTCTACACAGTAAATTAAGAGTTGAAAGGAGTTCAGGACAACAATGCCTAGTTTAACCTTGGAAATGTGGGTATATAAAATTTGTATTCCTCAGATGATATGATGTGTAGACACAGCAGATAGTCATTTATTAACATCTGAACACACTCTTATTCTCTTATGAAAGTTGAAGCCATGTGATCCTAAACTAAAAACCTAAGCAAAAAACTTAGCAAAAACTAAGCAAAAGAATA